GGGGGGGCGTGAGAATGTTCCCAGCGGGCGCGCAGAGACTTTCAGGCCGACGGTCGCGGGCGGTGACGTACAGGTTCAAGAAGCTCGGGGGCGGCGGGGCCGGGCGGGGCCGCGCCGAGCTGGGCGAAACGGTTCTTGAGACCAATCCATCAGGCTCGCATGCAATCAGTCAATCAATCACCGGCTCTAGCCGGCCGGCCGGCCCGGGCGACGACGCATGAATTGAAAGGATATCTGCGTCCGAATCAATTAATCACGAGCTGCAGCGCAGATCTCGTTTCAGACCGCTCTCCTCCTCCGCAGGACCGCGGCTGGGCCTCGGCCGCGGTGAGGCGAGGCCCCCCGCGGGGTCACAACCCCGAGCGCGCCGGCGGCCTGCCCAAGCTCAGGACCATTCGCCGGCCCTCGCCCGGCCCCTCCTCCTTGACGAGCACGCGCCCTAACGAGCTCCCCTTTGACGACGGTTCCAGATCGAGCGGGAGGTGATCCTCAGCGGTTCCGACAAGGACTCCAAGATTCCCATCCTGCACGAGTACAAGAAGCGGCCCAAGTCGGCCACCGCCATCGCCCCGGACGCCCCCTCCCGGTCCCTGGCCTGGACCGAGGAGAAGAAGGCCGTGAGTGGGATTTTCTTTATTAGTTTTGTTTTGCGGTTACTTTACGCGCCAAAGCTGGTCGCTCGTCCTTACCGAAACACTTGTCCTCCTTCCGCAGGGCGGCGGCATGCAGCATGACGTGGAGCTGCGGGGGCACGCCCTGGGCGGCGCGTCGCACCAGCAGGGCGCCGGACAGGGCCTCGGACACCAGCCCCACGGCCTCGGACACGGCTTCGGCAGCATGGCGTCTTCGCACGACGCGCTCGACACGATGGGTCACGTTGTGTACAAGGTACAGTAACACGACTCACGCTAGAAGTATTTTTTTGTTTTCAAAAGAAAAACAACAACGTGAGGTTGCAGTGGATGAACCCGAGACCCTTTGCTCCGCAGGCTCAGCCGCTCCACGTGACGCAGGACTCCAACCAGCCCCTCGGCCAGCCCCGCCCCGTCTCGTACCATCCCGGCTCCACCACCACCCACGAGTCCATCTACGGCAGGTGAGTCGTGCATCCTGTCGCCAAAAGGGAAGCGAGACGCGCGCGGAATGGCGGCGGGACCGTTCTGCGTGAGTCACTCCTCTCCACGGAGGAGAGGGGCTAGAAAAAAGCTGATTGCCGCCGCGGGGCCGGGAGATCGCGAACAAAGCCGCGCCCCGACTCATCACACGCGCTACGGCCCATCTTCAACTCCCTTTGATTCCCCGTACGCGTATTGTTCCCTTTTAAGGGGCGGTGCGCCGCTGCGCCGCCTCCTTCCCTCGTTTCATGACAATTTCTCCAAAAACGCCCATTGCTCATTTGTGGTTGCACGACGTCTGCCTGCAGCACGCCCAGCGCCATGCCCCGGACCTGGACGGTCAGCGACTCGCCGACGAGGTCCCGCCAGCAGATCGAGCGGCAGCAGCAGCAGCGCCAGCATCAACAGCAGCAGCAGCAGCAGCAGCAGCAGCAGCAGCAGCAGCAGCAGCAGCAGCAGCAGCAGCAGCAGCAGCAGGCCGCTATGACACCGACCGCGCGCCAGCTCCAGCAGCAGGACATGTACGCCATCACGGCGGACCCCAGCGCCACGAGCACGCCGACCGGGCCCGAGTCCACGCCCAACGGTGTGGCCAACGGGGCGGCCAACGGCGTGGGTAACGGCGCCAAGGAAGCGTCGTCCGGCAAGGGGCTGTCCTCCAGGACGTACCACTCCATCAAGGACCTCATCTCGAGCCGCTTCGGCAGCAAGGGCAGCAAGGAGGCGGGCGACGTGGAGAGCGCGCTCAACAACCTGCCGTCCAACGGGACGACACCGCAGGCCGGACAGCAGCAGGGCCAGCAGGGCCAGCAGGGCCAGCAGGGCCAGCAGGGCCAGCAGGGACAGCAAGGACACCCGCAAACACCGCAGGCCGCGACGCGCTACAACGGCATGGAGGACGCCGGCCAGACGACCCGGACGCCGACCACCCCAAGACAGAGGACAGGGCGGAAAGAGGACGACTACCAGCACCTCCCCGCGCACCTACTGAGCGCGCAGCGCGGCCCGGGCGGGCCAGCCTACCGCCTCGCCGAGGAGGAGAGCGCATACGGCACGGCCGCCCGCTACGGGAAGACGGGCGTGCCTGCGGGCGTGCCGGTAGGCGTGCCCGCCAACTCACCCTACCAGCGCGTCCCCATGCCCCACGCCATGCACGCCGAGCCGATCTACCAGCGCTACCCGCAGGACCTCAACCGGACGCCCACCAAACAGACCCCGAACCCGCAACACCAACAGCAGCAGCTGAGGCCGCAGCAGGGCTCCAGCAACGCGGCCGTGTCGAGTCCGCAGACGCTGCTCCGGGAGCACGGCGTGTACATGGTAATGCGCCAGCCCATGTACGGCCAGACCAAGGCCCCGGGGCAGGGTCCCGGACCAGGCCCAGGACAGCCCGGCGAGGGTGGCGCGGAGAGCGTGTACGGCCAGACCAAGGCGCCGGCGCCCTCGCACCAGGCGGAGGAGACCCCCAAGAGCGTGACGTACGGCGGCGGCCTCTACCAGGTGGTGCACCAGGGTCAGAACGACGGCCAGCAGGGTCAGCAGGGCAAGCGCGAGCACTACCAGCCCGACGGCACGGTGGAGCGCGTCGACCCCAACGAGATGTACGTCGACCAGGACCCCTACGGCAGGACGGCGCCGGCGCCCGCCCCGGCCCAGGCCGAGCAGCAGCAAACCGCGAGCACGCCCGCCGCCCCGCAGGTGCGCCGCGCCTCGCAGCGTGCCGACGAGGACGACGACGACGAGGGTGGCTTCGTGGCGGACAGGCAGCGCGGCGGCCGCGGGGACACGGCGTCCGCGGCGCCGACCGGCCCCGGCTCAGCTGGCAGCAACCCCAGCTCCAGCTCGGACTACGACAAGGCGGGCACGGGGCCGCTGTCCAGGCAGTCGCAGTCTGACTCCGGCCGGGGCAGCACCGTGTACTCGAGCGGCACGCGCAGCAAGGCAAGCGCCATCTCGGGAGCCTTGGGGCAGCAGTGCCTGGACACGAGCTCCGAGCTGCCCACCACACCTCACGGACAGACGCCTGGTGAGACTCTCCCTTTGGCCCAAAATTAGAATATCTGATAGAAACGTCGAGGGGCGCTTACTTACAGGATGGTTCTTCATTTCAGGTGGCCACTCGTGCGAGTGGGTTGACATGGTGGAGTCGGAGCTGCGCCAGATCCTGGACAACTCGCTCGGAAACACGACGGGAGCTAACTCGACCCTAAGCGAGAGCATCTCGTCTATGACGCCGCCCCTGCCCCCGCTGTCTCCGGGAGGGTCGTCGCCAGGAGCCTCACCCCGCGCCACCGTGCGCTACGGCCACTCGCAGAGGTGAGCAGGCGTTCCGGATACAAAATTACAATGTTGTAACAGGTGGCTAGAAAATCCTGTGCTATTTTGTAGTTATGTTGTACCGTAAGGACGCGTGTCGGCTGAATAGGCTTTGCCTGCTGCCCTGTGGCCTGTGGCCCCGGGTGAGTAGGCAACTCGCCCACACGCCTGTTATGCGGTACAGTAATAACTACAGGGGCTTTTCATCCACCTCGAGTATGTGACGTGTGGTTACAATATTGATTTCTTGACACCAAGTTTGGCAAGTCGCAGTTTGCCCTATGGAACTAAACCGGACTACTCGCTGATGGAGTTCGGCAGCCGGAAGGGTATCCACGGCGGCGGCCTGTCGGCGAGCACCAAGCGGGTCGGCGGCCAGGTGTCTGCGTCGGCGCGCGGCTGGAGGCCCGGCAAGCAGCTGGGGCACAAGAAGAAGGAGCAGCTGCAGATGGCGGCCAAAAACGGCAAGATCCCCCTGAGTAAGTTTGGCGCGTGATGCGAGCGTCCCTCCTTATCCGGCAGCTCCCCGGAGAGGCCCCCGATTCACACCTCCCTGTTTCCTCGCGCAGGTGCGGCGCTGGGCCTTGAGGACGGCGTGGCGCTCGACCTGGACTCTATGCTGGACGGCGCCACCAACACGGAGGAGAACAACACGAGCGAGGACGACGAGGACATGAGCACGACGGTGGACGCGTCCGACAACCGGGCGATCCGGAAGCAGCTGGAGGGCCTCGAGGGCATGTACTCGGAGGTGCTGAAGCTGCTGGGCGTGCGCAAGCAGCGCGCCCGCTACCAGCCCTCGGACCCGCGCGTCAACAAGCGCCGCCTGTACGGCAGCCTGTCCTCGCTGCCCAGCTCCGTGTCCAGCCGGCCGGTCCGCGACCTCCGCGACCGCCGCCGCCACGACGACCGCAAGAAGGTTCGCGACTTTGAGGTACGTTTTGCCCCTCACACGAGAGAGGAGATACAATTCTGAAGTTCTTAATTCCTGGAAAAATATTTCAGACTGTCCCCAAGACCGTCTCTACCAGGATGCAAAGTCCCCCCCCCCCCACCTGGCTATCTACAGCGCAGAGAGGACGCCTGTGTCATTATGTTTTTCCGAGATTAACCCCGGTTTTCCATTCTGCAGGGCATCAACAAAAGGTTTCAGCGCCTCGAGTCGCACGTCGTCACGCTGGCCCGGAGTGTCGCCCACCTGTCGTCGGAGATGCGGACGCAGCACCTCATGATAAGGGTAAGGACAGTAATAATCGGCTGAGAACTCTACCCCCTCCCCCTCTCCCTCTTTTCCCCCGTTTCGGTGATGCTGAGAGCCCCTCTACCCTCCTTGCTGCAGGAGATGGAGCACATCCGGAGCGAGATGGCCAGCCTGCGCACGCAGACCAACATGATCGCGGCGCGCTCGCAGTCGCAGTCCGTGCCCCGGGGGCTGAACCAGCTGCTGGCCGACAAGGACCCCCGCAAGGACCGGCTGCGCGACCCGGCCGCCATCACCAACCCGTCTCGCGTCAAGAAGCTCACCAAGTTCTTCGGCGATGAGCCGCCCCTCCTCAGAATCTTTCTAAAGAAGCTCGGCTACGAGGTAAATGCGACGGCCGTTCCGATCCTGATGTCCTGATGTCGCCCCCGACCCCTATTTTGCAACCTCCAATAACCCGATCGTCTCTTCGCTTGCAGAAATACGCGGGCGCATTCGAGCAGGAGCGCGTCGGCATGGTGGAGCTGCCTTACCTCACGGAGGAGCGCCTGCAGAAGATGGGCATCCCGATGGGACCGCGTCTCAGAATCCTCCAGGAGGCCCAGATCTCGGCGTGCAGGGATACGGTCTACGTCGTTTGAGCAAGCAAGGTAAGGCGCTTGTCAGTCTCACCTGAGTAGATTGCAGTATGCGTTACGCTATTTTTAAGTTTCGCCTTTTCCTCATTTTTCAGATTGTGACTCAGGAAAAATGTTGGTTTTCTTCTGGAAGTGCCGACATGGCCCTGTTCGACGCTGTAAACAGTCCTTGGTTTTCAAGGAGGTGTCTTGCATGTCTGTTCAGAACAGGCTGTCCAGCCCAAAGCCCTAATCTACGCATGGTCTTCTTAAACCTATCACACATATCATTTTATTCAAAAGTTTATTATAGTAATGTTCATGTAATTTCCAGACTTAATCAAATAAGAATGTTCAAGAAAGTAGTCTTTATTTAATTGCCGTTTAATTTGTTTTTCTATTGTTGTTCTATTTGCCTTCTTGGGTGAACCAAAAAGGTGTAATAGAATACATGTCTTGTCGTTCAGCCATACCCAGCACTCTCCAATTTTTGTGCCAAGAACTGCACCTTCTTCCAGAGAGGTAATATAAAATTCTTTGCTCAATTTTTTTAGCTGATAATTTTAAGAGACTTGTTAGATCTGAATGTCAAATTCGAACACGAATTTTGAGTGCTTTGTGACAGTATTGTAAGCACCATTTTGATTTCCAAAAAGCAATGGCAGTTAGCCATGAACAAGTTACCTGATGTATTGAAAATCAAAACTTTGTGTTCTGTGTTAT